TGAGCTAAGTAATTCGTTACTGCACTTCAGTTTTAAGTTGCACACGGATATCCTGCGTCATTTTCTCCACCCAGATATTTTGTAGGAAAAACTTTGGTGCTGTCAGGTTTTCCATATTACAGGTACCTGGTCTTCCCACACCAATTGAGAACATGATTTTGCGCTATGTGAAGATGAAGGCGGACTGGTGGACCAACACGGCACACTATAATCGTGAACGTATCCGCCGTGGAGCTACAGTTGACAAGACGGTGTGCAAAAAGAACTTGGGTCGACTCACTCGACTCTACTTGAAGGCTGAACAGGAACGTCAGCATAATTACTTGAAGGTACTTCTACATTTTAAATGTTTATTCAAGGCTCAACAGTTTGCAACATTATCTTTATTAAATTATTACAAGCTGTCGTATATATGTTCATATATATATTTGAGTTATTTGACATATCAGATTGACGAGCGTGTTGGAGTTAACATGAATTCAGAGGGCAGATATTTCTGTCTGTTTGAACCAATTTAAGGTATTCATAACAGCCTTACAAAGGTTTATAACTTGACATGGAAGGCCCAGTTGTGCAAATAGAAAGCTTTGTGACTTTATGAAGTTTGTGATAGCAGAAACTATGCAAGAGTCCAGTCAGGGGTATTTGTATGACCAAGTGGCATTTTAACCCTCCATCAGCACCACATTATATTGGTTTGTGGAAAGCGGAGAACTGGTCCCTCAAACATCTGCAACAGATTGTAGGGATGACCGACTTGTACTTTGAAGAGTCCTTTCTCAGATTGAAGGTTGTCTGAACTTCTGTCCTCTAGTGTCCTAGTGATCTTCAGTTATTCATCCCTTGATATTTTTTGATTGGTTGGCCACTGAATTCTATCCCATAATTTTACGTATTTGAATTAAGGCCTAATCTATTGATTTGCGTAGAGTCCAGCAGAGGTCTAAATGGTGGGCTGCATGAACTAACATGTAGGTGTTTGTAAGCAGAGCTCCACAGAGGCATATCTGCAAAAATAATATGTAATGCAACCTTGAAAGATGGTGGGAATTGTGGTCATAAAAGAGTTTAATATTTGTTCATCTATTAGGTATATAAAGAATAAATCTTGTATGCACAAACTCTTAATGCTACATTTTTAATTTAAAGTCGTAATGATTCTTTTCACTTGGATGTGTTGTTTGACTTTGTAGCAGTAGTCGTCTGTTTTTGGTGTTTTGCTTCCTAGGCTTTCAGTGCTGAAACTTGTGGACGCTTTTTATTACTACTGTTTATAGGTTAGAACTGTTTGTTTAAAGTTTTCTTGAACATCTACTTACCATACTAATTAATATTAAATGTGATAAACTCAGTTACTAGGGCAGTGTTGGTATCTTGGACTTTCACTTTATTTTATATTGTAATCAAAATTAAATATATTTTAATATTGTTAAGTATTTATATGTGAATGGAACAGGTCTTTTAGGTCTACCTTGATGCTGATGATGATGATGATTTAGCATTTATTTAAACCGTTTCCTTAAAATTGTAGGATGGTCCATACATTTCACCTGAAGAGGCTGTTGCTATCTACACCACCACAGTCCATTGGCTTGAATCTCGAAGATTTGCTCCTATTCCATTTCCTCCTCTCTCCTACAAGCATGACACCAAACTTCTAATTTTGTCTCTGGAGAGGCTCAAGGAAGCATACAGGTTCGTAAAATTTTATTTGGAAAGTATTATGAAACAATCATTACTATTACGCAGATTTTTCGTTCAGTGAAACTTTCTGTTTTTGTGTGGATTTTTTATAGTCATGTCTGAGGGAATGTAATCTCATGCCATTTCGTGCTTCATTTTTCCATATTTCAAATATCGATTCTGCTGCTTACCGCATGTGAATTAAACAGTGTTAGATTACCTATGAAATTGTTGCTGTTTTATGTGTATTTAGTCATATTGAATGATAAGTTTTATTGACTTTTGAGTTTTGTGTGTATTTCAGTGTGAAGTCCAGGCTTAATCAAAGCCAGAGAGAGGAATTGGGTCTGATTGAACAGGCATATGACAATCCCCATGAGGCTTTATCAAGAATCAAGAGGCATTTGCTTACACAGAGAGCTTTCAAAGAGGTATGGTGTCACATTGCTTGAATGTTGAAATGCTAAATTACAGACATCTATTTTCTTTTTACCGTGTTATTATTTTTAAGTCTTTTGTTATAATTACTTATTTGCCTCATTACAGTATGTTCTTTCCCAGGGGTTGTAACCCTTGGTGCAAACCCATAGTGTAATAACCATATTTACGCCACAGTCACTCGGCACAACTTTAATACGGATGAACCACACTCTCAGCATTTCACTGCCTGACCTTCAGCTACAGTGTGACCAAGCTTCAGCAGTGTTGCCAGTCATACAACTAAAATATTCTAATAGTATTAAAAATATATTAAAATTGGCCGTCAATCACAATATAAGATAATTAAAAGATTAAAATATCATTTTACATTCCGTATCGAGTACTCGATTTACATGTGGAACATTTACGACATGTTTCGGCTATATATAGCCGTCATCAGGTGTTATGTTATAAACTTTTTAACTGAATTACTGATTTTTAATGATTTTTAGTTTTCATTTTTCTTATCATGTTCTCGTCTTTCATATTGTATCTTCATCCGTTGTTGTGTCACAAGTCAATATAATATTTCCCTTTTAATTACTCTCACAGTATTTTTAAAAAAAATTGCACGTCATTTCAATAGATTGTGCTCATCTAATACCTTGCAGCTTGAGATTTGATAAGACAGTGTGAATTTGGCCCAGAGTGAGAAGAAGATTGAGAACCCTTTATCTATCCTTATTGTATGGATCAGGTAGTACGTGCAGAACTTGATTAAACATGTCCGTTCCTACTCATAGGTTGGTATTGAGTTCATGGACCTCTACAGTCATTTGGTGCCAGTATATGATGTTGAGCCATTGGAGAAGATAACAGATGCATATTTGGACCAGTATTTGTGGTATGAAGCGGACAAGAGAAGATTGTTCCCTCCGTGGGTGAAACCCTCGGATACAGAACCACCCCCGCTGCTAGTGTACAAATGGTGCCAAGGTAGTATTGCGAATTATCTCTGATCTTCCATGGTGCACTGACGACATGACTTACTTCATGTTGGAAATAACTCAAATACGAAAACTTCAGTTTGGTGTAAACATATAATTTTGGTGATTTGATACTGTATATTTAGTGCTGTTTTTTTAGTGTATCCAGTTCATGTATTATTATGTTATCGTGTATTGTCGTTTACAAGATTATAGAATGCTTTTATGCATTACAGGTATCAACAATCTTCAGGATGTCTGGGATGTAACGGAAGGTGAATGCAATGTGCTTCTTGAGTCTAAATTTGAAAAGATGTATGAGAAGATTGACTTGACCCTTCTTAACAGATTATTGAGGCTCATTGTGGACCACAACATTGCTGATTACATGACTGCCAAAAATAACGTTGTCATCAACTATAAGGTACAGAATTCTTATATTATCGTTCCTTCTCTTCTGATGATGTAAGCAATGATTGTGCTGATTTAATAGTAATATCATGTTGCGACTGTCCCGCGCCGTAGCCGCGCGGTCTGACGCATCATGTTTCGGACCGGCGATATGGAATGCGCGCTGGTTCAAGTCTCGGGGAAAGAAATTTATCGCGAGATTTTCGACCAGTGTATGGGACCGGTGCCAAAACAGCATCGTGAGGAAATTGGGGAGCTACAATGAGTAGCGTCAGGAAAGCTAGCAATGGCTGGGGGTTCGTCGTGCTGACCACACGTCACCCTATATCTGGTTGGATGACCATTTACCTCTGCTTAGGCATGTGAACGTGAGGCCAGCAGTCAAGCTAGTCGGCTTTAGCTCTCAGAGGGCTGTTACGACACGGATTTTATTTTGTGACTGCATTTGTTTTCTCAGATTGTTAAATGTCAGACTTAAAATCTTAAGTTTGGCTCTCTTTTGTGTTGTTGCATTCTGTACTCTGGTAGAAGTCTACCGAACCACAAATCCTACTTTTAAAAATGTCTTCTCCCTTAACAGGGGTTTAAAATCAAAATTCCAGAACCTTCGTACTAACTCTGTGTGCAGCCTTCAGTAAGATGGATTTGTGTGATTACAGAAATGAGATGCATGGCTTTGACATTGGTTTTGTGTTCGCTTCTCTTGTTTAATGTTGAATTTAAGATGATTTTTTTTATTTTGGGGAGTAGCCTACTTAATACAGTTTTGGATGTAATTTAAATTACAGTGCGACTGATAAATAGATACAATATTTTTTTGACCATTGCAGGAATTTGTTATATATAGTTGATATGAATTTTGTGTCTCAAGACATCATCTTGATAACTTCTAAGATTACCCTCTACCAAGACTGCCAACAGCAATTGTTGTTGCTGGTTTTGAGTGACATTTGTTGTGTGGTTTTAAAACGTTTATAACATACATCTGAATAAAAGTTACTTACAAATTGACTAAGAGAAATGGACACATTTGTCTATTTATTTGGGATGTGAACTAAATTCAGAAGGAAAAATTTATGGAGAGATGAATAGTAAATAAGGGTGTAATTCTGTCAGATATTAGCAGAAATCAAGATAAGAGGATATAGATGACAAGAAATCGGAAACGAATGATTGTGCGGAAATAGAAGAGACGGAGACTCTTTGTCCATTGACTCATTTTATGTATAGAGTATCCTGATGCATGGATATCTTTTATTTATAATAAAAAATATTTAAATTATAAATACACATATTTTTTACATTTTCAAGTCAGTGGTTCAAAAGTAGGATTTGCAGGATTAAAATCTGTTTGCTTCAATTACTGAATGAACATAAACTGAAAATGTTAAGAAATTTAAGATAATAAAAGGGTCCTTGCACTGAGTGCTAAAATGATGTTTGAATGCTTAGTACTAGATTTTTTAAGGAAAAAGCTGCGAGTACATGTTTAATATGTAAGAAGTTTAAATGTGTTTGATGATGATGTTCTTCTGGATTCTGGCAACGTGTAGACTGGTGAAAACCTCAAATCTTAAATGTATTTTTATTTATTTTTTAATTAATTATTGTTTATTTCCTTCAGTGAAAAGTTGTACAGTGGTGTATAGTGAGTTTTTGCTATTGAACAGTGTAGACATGTTAGTTTATTTCTCCAGTATCATGTCTAACAGTCTTTCTTTTTCTTTATTCTGCCAGGACATGAACCACACTAACAGCTATGGAATCATCCGTGGTCTGCAGTTTGCGTCTTTTATTGTGCAGTATTATGGACTTGTGCTGGACCTCTTAGTTCTCGGGCTTCAGAGAGCCTCAGAAATGGCTGGTCCTCCACAGATGCCCAATGACTTCCTAACATTCCAGGATGTTGCATCAGAAGTTGCACATCCCATCAGGCTTTTCTGTCGTTATGTAGACAGAGTGCACGTCTTTTTCAGGTAACAGTGGATCAGAATGTATTTTTGTTAAAGTGTCATTGGAAAGAATTTTTTATTGTAAATAAATGTCAAACTGTATCTTCTTCCTTGTTTTCAAAATGAGTTGTTCCTAGTTACATAGGTAAATGTGAAGGTTGTTTTTATCTGTTGCGTTAAACACTAGAGGAACTTTCGGTGATTCCAAAAGTTTTATTCCCTAACAGTTTTTAATATACACAGTACAAGTCTCAGCTTCGGATGGTAGATACAAAATTTGTGTGAAGCAAATCATGAAGGTTTGCTTGCATCAATTTCTTTTTGTTTTGAAAATTACTTCTAGTAAATTAAACTAATGAGATATTTTAAGTGTATTGAATTTGATTCAATAGGTTTACTGCTGAAGAGGCAAGAGATTTGATTCAGAGATACCTCACAGAACATCCAGATCCCAATAATGAGAACATCGTTGGGTACAACAACAAGAAGTGTTGGCCACGAGATGCTAGGATGAGACTGATGAAGCACGACGTCAATCTGTAAGAAATAAAGAATTCCCAAGTGATTTTAGATGCGTATTACATTTTACAATTTAAATGTTTGTGTTGCATTTTTAAAATGCTGTGTAATATGATGCTCTTGGCCCAAGATATAACTATACATGACATTGTAGATTTCTGAAATATTTAAATCCATTTTTAATAAATATAAATGAACTTATGTTTTTAGAATAGTATATACTTTAAATTTTAAGATTTATTAGTTTCCATTGATGCGAGGAAGGACTATGCTGTATTCAGATATGACTCTCCCTTTCTACTGGAAGGTCTAAGGTCATAATTTTTCTGTATGTTCTGTAAATATAATAGAATAGATAGACTGTGGAAGTGAGAAAATTCAAGTTCCAAGATGGTGGTCATCTGGGTTGTGCCACTGTTTGACCAGTGACCCTCCAAAACATTGGTGATCACCTGGAAGACAACGTGGTACGATAACCCAGAAATCCAGCATTGACTTATTTACCACCATGTTAACCTCAGATCTCGGAAAGTGTTACTTAGATGATATTACTTATTTAATTTTGAAGAACCCTCTTTTAGACTGCTCATTTCAATGAAATATCACCTTGTTTGTTGCATTTCATATATTTATCGATCAGTGGCCGTGCTGTATTCTGGGACATAAAGAACAGACTTCCGCGATCTACAACTACCATCCAGTGGGAAAACAGCTTCGTCAGTGTCTATTCCAAGGACAATCCAAATTTACTGTTTAATATGAGTGGTTTTGAATGCCGTATTCTTCCCAAGGTATGTTGCTTGTAATTTATAAAAATGTGTGTGTGTGCATGCGGGGTTTTTTTACCAAGTTTTGATTTTTGCTAGGCATCGTTGGAAAATTAACATTCATTATAAATATTTTATTGATTAAAAACTGTTTTGAACAATATTCAGAACATGACGATATGTTTAATGTTTTTAAAATGAATCTTAAAATTTGTGATTTGGATGGAGTATTGTGTAACTTGTTTTGGTGATGTGTTATTGTTTTTTTTGTCTATCTTGCAGAGGCTTTTTATTATTTCTGTGAAATATAGAAAGCTGATAATGAAGTTGTGTTTCAGCAAGATGCTGATGGCTGAAATAATTTATTATGATTGACGTTTGGATTCTTAATAAAAACTATTATTACTACTCTACATCCCCAAACCTCCTAAAAGTAGGTTCTTCATTTAAAGGTGTTATATGTAATACACTGAATGGACAGTTTGTAATATTATAATTATATTTATAGCATTCTGTGTCGGGCGTAAATGTTTTTAATGCTGAATTGTGCAGTATTCTTACCATCATTGTGTATTTTCCTGTTACTGGAAAAACACTGTGTCCGTGTGTAGGCTTAGGAAACTGATTTGGCTGAGATAACACGTACAGTGAAGTTGAT